AAGAGAAGAATTCTAAACCAAGGGTAAAAGGAGACTTTTGGAATATCTGTGGTTTTCAACAATGCTTGCACTACCAATGTAATGAATTAGTAACCACTTGTTAAAGAAAGAATCACTTCCCACTCTGCCAATCAGGACGTTTGTACCTCCACTGTCAGATCAGAAAGAAAAAGAAGTACAATGGCTGTTTCTCTTTTCTAAGCATATCGAGTTCAATAAAGTGAGGCATGACCAACTTTATGGCTTTTCAAAAGCAAAACAATATTTAACTTTGAGTGTGCTCTTGTATGTATATATCCCTTACTGGACTGAAAGCAACTTATTTCTCTTCATCGTGCCCAGCAATCCACATAGTGTCTATTATATAATAGATACGCAGTAAATGTTCAAAGAATAAATGAATGACCTTATGATAGTTTTATCAGAAAACTAAATTATTAATCTTATGTTACAGTAACAGAACCTGAAAAGTTTATTTCAGATCTATTCTACATGAAATTTTAAAGCACCAAATCTGTCAAATAAATCAGGAAATGCAACTTCTATTTTTTAATACTTTTGTTTGCTGTTAAGTTTTATAAATAACTGATATGAAAGAGTTAAGAAAAAAAGTTGAAGAGGCAATATATGGATTTATTAAAAATTTATACCCCAGCTACTACTAAAAAGATTTTGAGGTAATTAGACTATTATTTAAGAAGAACTGTGAAAACAATGTTGTAAAAAGATCAACATAAAATCTATTTTAACTTTATAAACATTTAATCATTAAAAATCCATCTACATATAACTATTTCTTTGAAACTTTATATTAGGAAATTTTACTGAGATAAAGAAGCTTTTGTGGATACTTCAGCCATTATTTCCTACCTTCTATCCAAATCAAATCAAGACATTAAAAAAAAATTGGGATGACCTTTAGCATATTCTCACATTTTGGGGTAGTCCACATCAAATCCCATGGAACTTCCAACTCTTCTCAAGCAATTCAGAAAGCTCTCGTTCACATTTTCAGCTCTGTTACTACATACAATCAACCATTTAGTCAAAGACGGTGCACTTAAAATCTTGCAAGTTTGCACATCCTTGGACCAATCAGCAGCAGACACCGGTTGACACTGAGAAGTACAATGATATGAAATGACTGAACAAATACATTCAGAGGGCAACTAAATAAAAACAGTATGAAAATGGCCCAAGTTTATCATAAGAGAAGTATTTAGTACGGTTTGCTATTCACAGTTTTAAAACTGTAACTGTTTAAAATCATAGGATCTGATGTCCTCACTGTACGCATGAGAAATGGGATATAGAGAGGTTAAACAACTTGTCCAAGGTCACATAGATACAGGCGCTGCACGTCTGAACAGAATACATGTTCTCACTGGTTGCATAACCTTGAGGTTCAAATATCCCTGAAGTTCCCTTCCAGCACTAAGAATCTATGACTTTTACTATGAGTGGCTCAGGCAAGTAGACTGCCCAGTCTAGTCTCTTAAGATCATCTCTTCACATCTCTTTACTTTAGGCATCTAGGTATCTCAAGTAGAAAATGCTTATGGTTGATACTCTAGGTATCAATAATAACCCTACAGGGAAGTTAACAATGTACATTATGGTCAGAGTAGCTAAGTCGAGGAGCAGACATGAAGCCAAGACTCAGGCTCCTTTCACTCTTGAAAGGTCCTCAGGTGACCAGAAAAAACAAGCTCCCTGTACTGAAGAAAGGGCAGGGCTTCAGACAGGTCGCCAGCCATCTGCTTATACCTATGGACTGGGATCAAATGGAAATGCCTTTGGTGCGGCAATCGAGGAAGAGCCACTGCTAGAATTAAAAGGGATCATACTCTAGTCTCATCTCTTGCTACTCAAAGCACTGTCTATGGAGCAGCAACATGGATATCTCCTGAGAGCTTGTCAAAAATGCAGAGTCCTGGGCCCCACCCCAGAACTACTGAATCAGAATTTGCAGGTTAACAAATTCCCCAGGTGATTCAAAAGCACGTTGGTGTTTAAGAAGCATTCCAATCCCTTTGTTTTACCAATCAGAAGCTGTGACTAAGAGACGTTATAAAACCAGCTATCACGGCCACAAGCTTAGAGTGCTGGTTTCCTGATGCTGCAGCCACTTCCACCAAGTGCTTCTGACACCACCCATCTCCATGATGCCTTGCCATTAGGTGGTTAGGTTGGGACTCAGCCCCAGGAGGCGGCCTTAGCCTGAGAACAAAGAGGGAGGGTTAGACCTCCATAAACGGTTCTATCTGAAACTAAGGTCCATTCCTTTCCATTACAGACTGTATGAGGAGAGCCACAGCCCTCTCATCCACGTACTTCTAACTGCTGTCATCCTGTGGACAGCAGGAGGAGACTCAGGACAATGTGCCCAAGGCATACCCTGAGGTCAGTGAAGCTTTATTTGTATTGTTC